ACAGTTAACAGTTATCAAAATGTCTGAAAGATAGGCTTTACAACTTAGTTCCAAAGTTATGATGCAAAACCCTTAAAAAAAATAACCATTAAATTAACAAATTAACCTCTGAAAATAATACTTAAAGAGTAGAAATTGCTAATTTATACTTGGGAATATTTTTTATTACAAATACTAATACAAAATTACATACAAATTCTACCTTTACTTCTCACATAATATAGTGAGTCACACAGAGTAATATATATTAGTGAAAGTCGGGTTTGTTTTGCTCAGTCGTGAATCAGCTTTAAGCCATCACTATTTGTTAACGCTAGTTGGCGCCAAACCTGCGTGATGGCAGCGGAATCCTCATGAAGGTCTTGTAAGTCCTGAGCTCTCGATGAAGCTCCATGAAATGTTTCTCCTTCCTCTTCACCATCCAGGTGAACTCACCGTGTTTCAGCTCAATCTTGAAAACAGCTGGAAGAGACTGCACACACACGGACACACACGACACACACACGACACACACCGACACACACCGACACACAAATGTCACACAGTGAGAGTCAGGTTGATCATGGATGTTTGGACGAGTGTTAGAGTAAAGTCAGCCTTAGAACAGTGTCAGGTTCAACACATTTGAAGTTCAGCTAATACTTGTTCTTAAACACACAAAACAGCCTTTTCTGATTAGATAAATAATCATTTAAATAACAAACGCATATCCTGCAGAGAGTGTAGTTGGTGCTGCTGAGACCCATGCAAATATGAAGAAACAGACAACGAAGGACTGAGGGCTGGTTAAGGAATATTGGCTAACGCGGGCAAAAAACAAACAAAAAACATTAAAAAGAGCAAATAGTCTACAAGACTTAAAAAAAATCAAAAGAATTAAAGAGGCAAAGAAAACGATAAAAAAAAAAAGGAGTTCAAGTGAAAAAAAGAGGCAAAGAAAATGATAAAAAAAAAGGAGTTCAAGTGAAAAAAACAAATGGTTCCTCCAAAGGGTTTCTGTTTGTGGAGAACTAACAACTGCACCTTGTTGACACTGCGGTGTTGGGACAGGTTGAATCGATCCTGAGCCGTGGTGAACCTCTCTACCTCCATGATGCGAGCAGTGATGGGCACAGTGGGGAGGTAGACTTTAGCGCTGGCCTCCTTGAAGCCCACAGTGTTGTACACTGCTGAAAATTGAATACGACAGTCCCCTGGAGGAGAGAGAACGAAAGAGGATGAGAGGATGAAAAGGCAGGGGTCAGTGTGTCTTTTTTTGGTTCCAGCATGTAGGAGTTTCTTAGGCCCACAAGTTGGCCACAACACGCTGTAGAAAAGAAAAGCCGGCCTTTGTTCGGGATTTGTACAATTTCTTTTTTTCCTCTTGTATTCTCTGGTAGATGTTGTAAACTGAGAAAACTCATTTCTGATAGCAGGCCTGAGAAATACATCTCTGTGAAAGCTGAATTACTTTCTTGTTTCGAGTCTTTGCAGTGGAAATTTCTGTCGATTTTCCTCACTTAATTTTTCTTCAAATGTTTACACAACAACTTCTTAATAATGTAGTATTTTTACACAGATATAATAGCCTGACAAAATGGACTTCCCAACGATATGGTTCCTCTACAAAACTTTGTGGAGAAGCTAAAATATAGCTATTTGGTTTGTTTCCTGTGGTGATGGTGATCCATTGATACAGTGCAAACACAGATGTACCTAAGTAGGTCCCATCGTAGTCGTTCTCCTCTCCGTCGCCTATATCCAGCTCTCTGGCATCCAAGCTTTCCACAAGGTCGGCCATGTCGATCCCGTCCAGTGTATCTGGATCAGCTGATGGGTCAGAAACTTCTGAGTTTACCAGGTTAAGATTACTGGTAGTTGGTGGATTCTTCTCTATCATGCTTAGCAGTCAACCCCAAGAGCAGGGCGCCCCTAGAGGAGACAGAACACAAAATATTTTTAGACCAAAAATATCCATTGACCTGTTTATTAGTGTTTAAATGTGTATTTGTCTCTCGAAAATATTGTTTTTTCTCTTTCAGTCGTCTATTGAATCAGAACAGACAGACTTGCTCTGAGTTGTATGCCATCATTGGAATCCAAAGGTATACGGTAAGAAAGTGGCTAACAGGAGATAATGTGGAGTTGACAGTTGTCATGTAAAACGGACACAATACTAAAACAAAAACAAAAACTTTAGCACTTCAATGTAATTGCGTTCGCAGAGACTTTGTTTGCAGCTTAAAGCTGACAGATCCAGCAGCAGAGAAGAGAATAATAGAAATGTTGGTAAAAAAGATATTTAATTGAACTTTTTACAACTTCATCACAACTTCATTTTGCATCCTTCCACCTTTGGCTTAAAAAAATTGCAGATATTTAGATATTTCTTAGCTAGTGCTTTGTTGTTTCTTCAATTTAATGTAGTAATTCTGGCAAACTAACACTGCAAGTTTGCAATTCTTGTCCTCAGTTTTAGCTGCTTTTTTGCTCTAATCTCAGGATTCATTTCTTGCCAAACATTTTGCTATATTTTAGAAAGCCTTATTTTATCAGAATCCTAATACTGAACAATTCTGTGAAACATTTGGTACTTAGCCTGGTTTAAACTGCCTTTTATGTATTTTGTTATGTTATCTTTAACAGCTAACACACTAAATTCCATTAAATGATATGCAACCTACATTGAACCTAGAGATAACAACACTCCCACTGTCAAACCAGAAAGTCTAGTGAACCAAACAATTATAATAGTTTCAGGTGATTCCAAACTGTATCACAATTTACTCTTCTGTCTTGATTCATATTTCTCAGGGTGTATTAAGTCGGCATATTAAGAGGTATTTTGTCATCACGGTGTAGGTAAGTCTACAGTTAACATTATTTAATGATAAAACACAAAACAATGACGGTAGCATCATTCAGCTCCGTGCTGACTTGGACCTGATAAAGTTCACTGCACTGCATGTGTGAATTTCAGATAAAATAAAGTTGTAGTCATGCTACGCTAAGTGACACTCATGTAGTCACTTCTCTTATTGTACCATTATTTTACACAGCCCTGTTTTGTGGAACAGATAATGATAAGAAAACCAGTCAAACAAGGAAGTCAAACCAACAAGGAGAAATGAGGAGAAATGAAAACAAAGACACACACACTGAAATAAAATAAAATCACAGACAGCCGTAGTACTAAGCCTACATCATTACACAAAAAGGACAAAAACAAGAATCTAGTCATCCAGGACTTTTCAGGCTCATTTGGGCAGTCAGATTTAGCTCTCTCCTCGAGTACTGACATCAATTGGACAATGAAATACCAAATCACTTTCACTGTACTTTTGAAATTGGACCAAACATTTAACCTTTTTGGGAGCAGCAACTGCTGTACAACAAAATTTTAGCACAGAACAGACATACTAGCTAAAAAATAGCTTAAAGCTAACACGAAGAAAACAAAATAAGCCAAAAGATAGTTTTTTTTTATTTCATTTAAATGTAAAAGTCCCCCTAAATATGTCAAGAAAGCAAATCCCGTTCAGAATTTCTACGCTGTATTCCATTCTTGTCAAATAAATGCTTATTAACGTCTGGTAAATCAATAAGGTGGCTAGCACTTAGTAGAACAGCAACTGCAGGAAAACTAGCATTTGAAAGCTGTAATTTATTTATTGAAAAGCTAAGACTGGAGATATTAGTTTATGGTTTAAAAACATAAAAAATAATCTAGTAGAACATATAACCTAATGCACTGTTATAATAGATATTATATTCATATTGATTAAATATCATTAATATTTAATAAATATTAATTACTTAATGGAGGAAGTGCTGAATGTTTTTGAAAACACAGTCTCACATAAACAGGAAGAGACAACAGGCTGTCTCTAAATATTCCCACTAAAGTGGACAAGATCCAACAGGTTCACAGAGTCAGGCGAGTCCTCAGCAGCTGCCACAACTACACGCCACTGCATGTCTGTCTTTGTCAACTGCCTCCTCACTCAAAACATTACCATTGAGCTTCAATTCATTTGTTTCTTCAATTTCAAATCAGTCATGTGGTTGAAAAAATAATTCCTTAGGATTTTTACAGATTTTAGGGATACCGTAATTTCCTGACTATAAGCCCTGCTACTTTTTTTTCCACACACTGAACCCTGTGGCTTAAACAATGATGGGCTAATTTATGGATTTTTAAGGGCTAACATCGTTCATACTGCTAGCGGTCAATGACTTTTCTGGTAGGCTACGGTGTGTTATACTAGTAGCGTATGTGTCTGTCTGTGAATGGCTGTGTGTGTGAGTTGGTTATACAGGAGCTGTTAAAACTCTGTTTATGTTCTGTTGTGCTGTGGCTGATAATAAAGACCCCAACTTCACTGTTTCCGTTTACCTCTGCTGCGGACAAGCACAAAGTGAAGGGAGTTAGCCCCGGAGCTAATGTTACCAACTACAGTCGGGGCTCCGAAGCAGGAAAGAGCTAAGAGCTAACGTGTAACCAGTGATTAAACAGGCAGAGGAAAATAATATTTACAATGGAAAAATACCACTGTGCACCACCAAATACATTTTTTATATAATAAAATACAATGATCTACTAGTAAGTAGTCAGTAAATTTAGCCAAAGCCAAATTTACTGACTCAGTTTCAAACCTGGGCCTGTTTAGTATAACAGGCTGTTGGTATAACTGCAGGAATTAAAGAAAGACATGCAAGAAAATTTCATCCAAAGTTGACATAGTCTTACTAGTTTTTAAAGCCATCTACTACAACTTAGTGGGAGAATACTTCATTGTTTTGCCTGTCACTGTTGCATAAATTGTAGTTTCAGACCAATACACTGGAACTAGATCTTTTTCCGTGTTCTCACAAACATGGCACGGTATTGCATGTATGATGTAAAATATAGAAGGCCCCTTTGACAGTCATCTCTTGGATGAGAGGTGAAACGTCTTTAAAAAAAAAAACCTACTTCGTCCAGTTACCCTCTATTATTATTATTTTTTTTGGATGAAGGAAAGGATGTATCCTGTGCAAGAAGCTGCACAGGATACATTTTATCATTTTTTTGGCCACTGCACAATAGTTGAACTTTTGTCCACTGTGCATGCTGTCTTGGATTCCAGACGAAATATTTTTGACGTTGCACTTATCTCCCTGCTCTAAGAATACCCCTGACCTCCCACAGGTCTGACCCTCGCTGAGGTTCAAGCTGGAATGATGTGGTTTGAATGTCTGCTGCATGTGCAGAATCAGATGTCAAGACACATCCACACATGTCACACCAACTATGTCCAAACAAACCGGGGGTACAGTCAGCACAGAAGACAAGGAGGAGAATGTGTCAAAGGAGACTTGTGGGAGTTTTATCTCCATTCAAACAGGAACGCTGCCTACTTCCTGTTTCCTATCCCTTTGCCATGGCGATAGATTTAAGGAACTGATGCTACCGAGAGAAAGTCAGCCTCTTCCCTCTGCTTCAGTCTGTCTTAAAGTGCCAATAAGATGGAATCAATGAAGTGTGAAGAACATAGATGGAAAAATGGAAGAAGTGCTGAGTGAGAGCAGAAGGACGGAAAAAAAAGTCAGTGGTGTTCAACAAAAAAGTGCAGCAGCAGGGACTTGTCAGCCTTTCACTATTGAGAATTTAGGTCTCACTTCATCCTTCACAGATCCATTTAAAACATACTGCCACACTTGTCGTGGCCAGACCGAGCCTCATTCATTCCACTCACTGCAAATCCATCACTGCAGATGTAACCTTTAATTCAAATTCAAAGCACGTCGTCCTTGTAAAGAACAAAGAAACTTTGACTTCTAATAAAACTACTTAATGCTGAGAGTTTCATCTGAGGATATCATTCATGGTCAATGACCAGTTTAACTGTCACTCTAACTTTACTTCTTCTTTGAAGTGTGCATGCATCATTACCACGATAAATAAACTCTCCATGTGATAAAAAAAACACTTTTCTTCTCCAGTTTTCATTGTACACGTTGGAATTTCTCATCTGCATTTCATGAAAACACAGGGGGGCTTCACAGTGGGCTTCACTTATAGCTAGCTTAACATACCATAGCATACCAGTATGATTTGAACCGGCAGTTGTCTGATCCTATTACCGAAAGGCCAAGGACTGCTAGTAAAAATTGAGGCTCATCGCTACCTTGGTTTTGAAAGTTAGAGGAAAAAACAGATTACTGTTGACTGAGTTTGACAAAATGTAAAAGAAAAACAATTCCAAACAGCCGCTAAATATAAAGCAACACAAGTTAACAAAGTTAGCAAAGGAAATGGCAAAGCAACCGGAAATAGCTATAAGGAAAAAAAAAACAGTTAGGAAAAGTTTGAAGTTAGCCAGGAGATGACACTTTTAACAACACTTTTAAAGAAGTTCCATTTTAATAACCCACAACAACACTTTTAAAGAAGTTCCATTTTGACTCAAAATACTTAGAGTACAGTATATAATTCTTATAAAGCAGGTCTAGGAGGGGCTAGGTTGAGCCTAGCATAGAGGCTGTAAACAAGCTTGTCTGTCTTTTAGGAACAACAATGAAGCCTCCCACTGCCAACTGTAATTATCATAATTAACATGTTATATCTTCTTATGTAGAGAGGTGTAAAACAACAGTTGTGTGTCAGACCAGTTCTTGGTTTCAACCAGTTTCCAAGCAACTCGATCAGGTCCTATTTTAAATAATGTCTTAGAAACTGAAAAACTGTGACGCGATGATTAAAAAAAATGCAGGCATAAGGATTTTCTAATCATGGAACAGAGTTCAGCCTCATTATTATCGAAATTTCAGCAAAACTGTCAAGGTAACAAACACATCCTTAGGAGATAACTTTGGAAGGAAGTGTATTTGTTAATGGGATTTTCTCTAATTATAGAATCCTAATCATTAGTAAATAAACATTATTACTCTATTAAATAAAAATCCAGTCACATTACCTATTGTCGTCAACAGTTTTTAATCTTTTCTACAAGTTACAGGTTATCTCGTTTGCTATTACCCTACCTTTTAACCATAATGCTATATTTTGGCAGATTATAAGCTACACATGATTAACTTTAAATGCACGTTTGGACATTTTTACCTTTTCAGTCTGGGCTTAGGTTAAGATACTTTGGCAAAATTCTGTTCTTTATTTAAAAACTTTTAGCTACTGCTACTACATGGGTAATGATATAGTCTTTTGGGATATATTTAAAAAAAAATTCATGGCTACTTCTGCTGCTCCCTTGCCATTAGTTGTTATGTTTTGTCATAATGGTTTGAGCTTTTTGGGTTATTTTGGTTTTCTTTTTCCTGGTTTCATGACCCTTAACTTAAAGGAACGGAACTCAAACACTGGCAACACACCTTAAATCTGTAAATATTTGACCTTTCGGTATAAAATTGATTTATTAAGAAAGTAGAGATTATTACAGAGTTAAATAATTACTTCATTAATTGAAGATTAACCAAAATCCATACGGCATTAGGTGCAACATGCAGATGATTGACTCCTTTCACGGTCTCAGCAGCCAACATTTTAATTCTTAGTCATGGAGTGTCCACAGGATAATGGATCTGTTTACCTAAAAATGATCGCTAGCAAACATTTTCCTCATTACAGAAAATACAAAGTGAGGGCAGCTTCCCCGCTGAAGAGCTCACCACAGACACCTCCTGCTACCTCAAAAAATGACCAAAGTAAATAAATGAAAGAAATTGAAAGAAAAAACATGAAACATATTTTAAAATCTCAACCACGGCACTGACGAAGAAGCCTTAGGCATCTTTGGTTGGAAACTATTTTCGTGAAGTGTCAAACGATAAGGAAGAACACTGGGGGCGGACTGAGCATCAGTGTCACTGATCACCAGTGTTTGCAGAAGAACTCATTTATGAGACACTTCTCTATTTATGGAGGTGCAACCAGACGCTTGACATTTACAAAGTGAATGATTTAAATCAGTTTAAATACGAGCAACACAGCACGTGACAACCATCTTAACACAGAAGACGACCACAGTGAGAGTGAAGTCTATACACACTCTCACACATCCTTAAACAGTAGCATAACGAGGACTTAAAGCATTCACAAATCTTGTGGTGCCAAGCTCCCGGTGGTGCAGATGGTACAAAGAGAGAAGGCAGAGATGATGGAGGGAAGGAGGGAGGAAGGGTTGTGACACCTCTCCCTCTCTGCCCACACTAAAGCTGCCTATTATCTAATCCTTCACACCATGGATGGTGGGATCAGGATGGGCTGAAAGAAGCAAGACAGTGGACAGTGGCAACAGAGAGGAGACAGACACAGAGCAGCAGCAGTCATCATCGAGAGAGTGGAATAAAACAAGGCATCATTGTACTGAAGGAGTCACAGAACTGTTCTCTTAGTGGGTTAGCCAGGCCTGACTCAGCCAGACTCAAGAGCCAAGTTTCAGAATGGAAAGTATTAGCAAACTCTGACTGGCGTCCATCCCAGTGAACAAAGTCAAGACAAACACAGAGTATAAACAAACCAACTGCTTAAAGACTGTTTATTCAAAAGACTCACAGGCTTAGTGTTTGAAAGGTCTGGGGGGGAATGGAGAAGGGGAACAAAATATATCCAGATTTTTCAAGGTATTCCAGCTGTGGCAACATTGGCTACAGTGAAGAGTGTGGCAAAGAGCCAGCACATAATTTAATTTTTAAGCACACGGTCGATACCAATATGGTGATCAAAACTGGATGAACTTTTATTGGATGGTAGGGATACTAACTTTTAGGTATCTTAACTTTAATTTTTATTTCACTAGTGTATATTTTCTTCATGGCTAATATTTGTGTCATCCTTGTCAAAAGGCTGGTCCAATGTTGGAAACTTGTTTACTAATTTCTTGCTGCGGTATTGGCTAACCTGTGCTATAGTTTATTGATACTGTCACACTGATGCAGCTCTGCACAATGTAAAGTATAATTTATAATTCAGTGCTCCATGGGCCAATAAAGTAAGAACCAAACTATGGAAGACATTTGTGATGATGTGTTTAAAATGTTTAAAATATCCAATATACTTAGTTAACAGTAGTTAACTTTACTTTAGAAACCTGTGGGGGACTAAAAACTTGGGGGTTTTATTCCCTGCTTCGTCAAGATGAATAATTGTTATGAATTTCAAACTAGGTTCTGCACGATGGCACTGCGTGTGACAGGTGAATGCACATATATGTGAGGCAATAAAGTGACATCAACTGAAAATAATTATTACTGCTGTCACTGATGATGATGTTGACTGTGTAGACAATAGAAGGACACATACTGTACATGTCAGAGGTCAGGGGAGGCCGTACAGTATTAGATAAAGAAAAATAGAAACGGAGAAGAAATGTGTAAGTGAGAGAGGGGAATGGAGAAGGGGAACAAAATATATCCAGATTTTTCAAGGTATTCCAGCTGTGGCAACAGATTTTGGCTACATGTGAAGAGTGTGGCAAAGAGCCAGCACACACACAAACACACACACACTGACACAAACTAGCCTAGACACACACACATACCTCATACAGCCTGAAAAAGAACAGGTAACAACCTTTATAGAATTTCCTCATCAAAATCTACGATAATTAAATCCACAAGAAAAG